GGTTACGCGAAAAAATCGGGGTTCCCGTAGTGTACTGGATTTGGATGACGCTCTGTGAGTCATAGCGCAGTTGGGTCAACCCGAATACCAATCGCATCGCAGATGGAATGCCACTGGTTACGAGCATCTACCAACTTGCCCTTTATTGTGCCAGAACTGGACTCAGGAAAGTTAGTGAACACGACCGTTAACGCACTGTGGTTCTGGTTAGCGTATGTTAGTTTGAGTGTTGTGGCTGTTAACTTAGATTGTTTGGCGGGCACTAAAGAACGTTGTGAAAACGGCCCCGCGTCGCTCGTACTTGGTCCAGAAAATAAACGTACGGGAGTCCTTTTAGGCCTTTTTATCGAGGCGATCGATGCATATATTACCCGCCTCTGCACTGTCTGTGTCAGTGTTGTGACCAACTCGTGAGATATGGCATCTAGGGATGAGTTAATGGCAGGCACGCTGGATGTGTCGCACCTACCTAAAGGGGTAGTAATCGTCGAAGTAGGTGGCGCAGGTGCCTTCGTGCAGTTAGCAATCCTGACTTTAGTCTTCGACATAGGGATAGAGCTTTGAGGAGTTTGCTGTAGATAAAGATCTGTGTTGTTAGATTCTAATGGCAACGCCTTGAAACTCACAATCTGCTGGAATGTTTCAGTTAATTTTTCGCACCTTTCACGAGCGATATTATTTATGTGACTATTGGGATTGCTCTACATATTTGGCGAAACTAAGCCGAACCACTCAGTTTGATTTGTCTCTCGTATTGTAGTGAACTTAAACCAGCACAGAAAGGGTGTAACGGAAGGCCGCAACATTCACTAATAATGCCTCTCTGAACTGATTGCATACATTCATGAGTAAAAAGCGCAGAGGAAATTTCTGGACCGATTTCCAGATAATTGGAGAGATTTAATGCAGACTGGTGACGGTCACGGCCAGACACTTGATAGTGCTCCTGTTATGGTCGGCTACCGTTCGAGCGCCTAGTGGCGCACCTGGGGAAATCAACTGAAAAGCTACTTTGGTGCCATGCGCAAACCTTTCACTGAATCTGGCTCGTGCACATGTAGCTTCTGTGACCGTCTACTCTGTTACATGTTTTGTGCACTGGTACTGGTATACTCGTTTTTCCGCACATGTACATATTGCGGGAACGTCATGATTCGAGTGACAGGTCTAAGCAGCAAATGCTGTTGAAAGTCGATGGAGTAGGCAGCCAAAGGCCGTAAATGTCCTAGTGAAGGAATATTTGGAATTCGTCACTTCTCCGAACCTGTTCACTGAATAAGGAGGAAAAGCAACTACAAGATCAGATGCATGTTTAGTACTCATCTCAGTGATGTCGTTTCGGTTTATTTCGTTGCTGAGCCTTTGGAGATCTATTTGCTTAAAGATCAATAATGCACAAGAATCGCTTCGTAAGATAAGACTGTGGACTTTGGAATGGCTACACAACGGGAGACCACGGTCGAAGCCGCACAATCACCGCCGCGTCTGGAGAACCCGCTTTGCCGACAAACAGGAAGAATCCGGAGGTCGCCGAAATCCCTCCAGGTCGATCTTCATCAGAAGCGGTACGATTTCTCTTCAAAGGGAAGTGTTGCGGGCACGTCAAAAGTCCCCGCAAAAAAAGCGCCAAAAACCCCGGCAGAATGGCTGCGGAAACCGAGGTCCAATTCCTCCCCACAACGCAGCAGAGCTCAGCCACTCCGAACCGCGCGCCAACTGCGCACCTTTCGACAATGCTCATTTACAAACTACCACCTCTGCGTGGTGACTGTTTTCCCTAACTTAATAACCCATAGCACTGGCTGTGATCGCCCTTTGTCGGTCGTAAAAGAGCCTACAGAGGACCACTTGTCTTTCCTTTCTCTTCGCCTCAGTTGGGAGTCGGTCGGGTCACGTGATTGCGTGTGAGTTGTTAGCTGGCCAGCCTTCGCGTCTAAGTCATTAGCGCGCGTCTATCGTACCCCCCTCTCGTGTGTGTCTGTTTCCGAGGTCTCAGCGTCTATCCGAACAAGTGCGGTTAGGATCGTTCACATGCTCGCTCAATTTTCCGTCTCACCGGCTAAGCTAGCGTCATCAGGTCAGCGCAACTCCGTTCGAGTGGCCAGCGTTACAAGTCGTCATCGTAGGCGTACTCCAACCGTGCGAGCGACACTCTTGTCACGCAGTTATCTCAGAGGCGGCGTCCCCCCCAATTATAACAGTCATCGTCGGTAGGTTTGCTGCTTCAGGTGCTTTGATATTGGAACTTTGCAAAGCACCTGTGACCTAAAGCTGAAGTTAAAAAGTAAGATTTGGTCGAGTCCTTCGCCAGCGATCCAAAATATCAGTTGCTCCTTGCTCTCACTGAACCATAATTTTTAAGGTTCTGGGGCCGCATCCTCTATAATTTGGTGAGAGAGGTATCCTGGTGTGCCATAGGGCCACAATACTACCCAAAGGAAGTGTTTCACAAATAAACCCAACTGTTTCGGATTTCTCATTCTTTGCAAATCATAAACAAGATATGGAAAGTCGCACTGGGACAGGACCACTATTAAGGGCTTCAGCGCGATCCTGATACGATTTCGAATTCGCCAGTTCAGAAAATCAAACCATTTAATGTAGAGAAATAGCGAGTTGTTTAACTACGCCATTGACATAGCCAAATGTATATTTGAGAGGATTTTCCTGTTCTCCGAGGTGAACATTTCTGTTGCAGACGTTTCGTTACCTAACTAGGGCCATATCTTCAGTGCCGCTATGCAGTCCTGACTCCCGGAGTCTCGCAAACTAATGCCTGGTTTGGTTACGAAATCTCTTCAACAGAAGTGCTCGGCTCAGAGAATAGGACAATCCTCTCATCCACACCCTGAGCTACAGGTATTTCGAGTAATTTCCTTATGTATATACTTTGGACATGTAGATTTAGATCAGTTTCTCAGGAACGCGACTTTGGCGTGCTCGTACTGTTCAAAACTGTCTGAGGTAGCTGCAAAACAGCTAACAAGTACGTCGGCCTGCCGCAAAGCAAATTCGGAAATAGCACTTCTTCAATTTCCCCCGGTAATGCACAACTCTAATGCTTGTCTTAATGACAAATACGCTATCCATGCTTGGCAACCTAGGTTGGATTGCGACCGCGAGGTTCTAGAGATACCAGCACGCAGGGCAACATAGAAAGCTAGGGGTCTACGCAGTCGTTCCCCCGTCACACTGTACGGCCCTCGCTTTCCCTGGGTTATCCTTCCAATTCTCTTTACATATATTTGTGCATCCGTTCCTGCGAACCAGTTCGACGAGCGCTACTCAGCTGCTCCCACTTCTCGAAACTAACTTGTTTGGATCATACTGTTTCTCCAGTTCACAGTCTTGGAGCAGTCTTTGCGGAGATCTACGCATGTATTTGCCTAAATCCGGAACTAATAAGAAATAATTTTGGTCTCAATCAGAAGAAGAAGCTGAGCACTCGCAAACGACCTTGCAACCATCCCTGCAGGTTGAGGCAAAACGAAGCTACGCGAGATTATGCATCCCATATCCACTAAACGCGTGTCCTAGACAATTAGGGACGCATGGCTGCGTGACGCTTGCACTGTCGCGTAAGCAAGCTGATGAATATGCGCCGCGTCCCCGTGTGGGTGTGTGCGCATATGCCTGAGAGGACTGAAAATTAATTCAGTAAGCTGATCGCGAAAGCGAGCGAGAGGCTGAGACAGCGAACTGTAGCGACAAACTGCTATGGGCGACGGAACAACCCAAATATACCCTTTCCGAATCAGGTAGGTCCATACAAGTAGAGCTGTTCCCATAATAAATTCCTCTATTATCCTAACAGGATAGTCCCTCCGTGAACCAAATTAATCCGGGCGTACCGGCGTGCAACTGCTTCGTTAGTCAATCGCCGCCAGCCAATAAGATGTTGGATGCATAGATACACAACCTGTATGGGGCACAGGTTTACGTGATCCGCTCCAGCCCGACTTGCTCCCGTGCGACTTGTCACATGGGTGGTGGCAGGGGGGATGGGCCTAGTAAATGGTTAATATGTGAGGTCATCAACGGCAGGCTAAGAGGAAACTGAGTCATCGTATGCTAAGGAATTTGCGTGGGATCCACAACACTGTTATAACAGAGTCTGTTGTTGAATAGCGCCATTGGATACTCGCATTCTGATACGGCCAACAGTCGATGTTTCCAGCTTTAAGTCCCAGGCGTCTGCACGTACAAGCTATCGTGTGCTGTGGACACGTGGCGTACACACGGCAACACGCACAATAAGAGTAGCGCATTGAAGCGCGAAGATTCACGGCTTACTTTGGCCAAACCACTAAATCGTATGTGCACTGGTGGACGTCGACCCTTCCAAGTTTCTCCTCTTCGGATGCAGTCCTAGCGATAGGAATTATAGAGGTTTGTTTCAACGCAGACCGTGGCCTCAATTTCTATTGCGTGTGGTAATACAGACATACGGCGTGTAACCCAAGACCCAACAATCACCGTCACATTAGCTCTTCACTCTATTATCGGTACTATTTTCAACATATTGCACGCCGTTAACCACTCATTCCACTCTTTAAAAAGCATCTACAGTACGCCGGTACCCAGTAGGGACGCACTGCCGCTGCACAAGTAACACCAATCGCTCGTAGGCAAAGTTTACTGCGCGGGTCACTTTATCCTCTACGCAGACTCGAACCGGCTACCTCTGTATTACAAGGCAGGCTTGTGATCTTTAATGCCGCGGGCCGACTCATTCCGCTCCTGCTCTACAATATCCTACCACCGATGTTGGATCATGGACAAACTACACGCAGAAGCCTACTTGCGATTTTGTCAAGTAACATGGTTGAATATTGTGGTGAAACCGGTTCTCAAAATGCTAAGGAACGATTTCTGTTTACGACATATGGCGGACAATATCTTGCTTGAGATAATGCCTAAAAGGTATCCAAGTTGACAACTTGATCGCTATCGTTGCATTAGTAGAGTCAGCTCAACTACATTGTTCCAATGGTGATGGGTCAATCTGACAAACTTGTGAATTTGGCATCTCCATTACTGTAAACATGACTGTCAATATGATTAATGGAACCCGTTCTCACCTCCACGTTCATCCCGGAGCAAGCCTCCTTTAGGGCGCACAGGAAGTTGTTTACGTCGTACACGGCCACAGGATTGTTGGCATCTTCGTATCCGGCTCCTGGTACGTCCCCCTGGCGTGGTGGAAGTTGATCACGTCTAGAATAGACCGGATGATGCGTAAGCGTGGCGTAGGGCAAACTGCGACAAAGTGGGTTCCACTTTTGCATCAGCTTCACGTCGTTCACATCACCCCAGCGCATTTGGATCCCAGGAGAACTCCGAATCCTGAATATTAGATGAAGAAACTACCAGTTATTAAGCTGAACCGCCAAGTATACAAATGTCACAGGAAGTCGGAATGTGTTTCGATGAAAAAGTTGGGGCTATGACCTGTATTCTTGTCAACCAGTTGCCAACCCAGTGTAATAAGATCACAAACAAGCCTTTGGTGCAAGCGAAGTAGGTACAGACCATTCAAGCAATTCAGTGGAAAAGCATATCAAACAACAGTTTCAGGTAAGTTGAGTAATTTGCAGAGGGTTATGACGATAGTATGCCCGCGTGGCATTGTGGTAACAAGCAATACGTTGCGCAATATCCAGTAAGTAGCTCAATGGGAAGTAATTGGGGTGAACTGGTGGCTACTCGTTAGACGCTATCACCTGGTTTTGACTGTGAACTTCACTTACTCTCGTGTCTCGGTTGTGATCCAGGTGGTGTTGTGACTTCCTATCACGTGACTCGGTTTGTCTGACACCCTCCCTTCCAGTAATCAAGTCAGGGCAACTGAAATCAAGCTAAGCTTTATACACCCCTGTGTGGGAGTGTTTGCAGAAATTCAAACTAGCAATGCAGACATTCTGGCAAGTGGAATCAAAGAAAAATGATGCAATGACAAGAAAACAAAGAGGTCATTTTCAAACAATTAAACGTTCTCGCAATTGATGTGTCAGCACTTGTTGGTCGACTAACTAGTGAGTCAGTTAAGGCAAGATGGAGTTACCGTACGAATAGGTATGGGAAAATATACGGTTAAATTACGAAGCGTCGAAGATAGATGCGGCACTTGCTGGAACAGTGTGTAGGGGGTGAAATTGGTCGTTTAGACACTTAGATGAAAGTTAAAGCTTTCGTCAAAATGTTTGTTGACCGTAAAATCAACGAGGGATTTATTACTCAATTCAAAGCATCGGAAAATAAATTTTAGTGAGCACACATAAGTACACTCTTTTTGAAAAGATCCGTAGAAAATACAAGGGTAACAGTATGGCCAATAGTGAAGAATACAGGTCTTTACAAACCTTAGAATTAGAGCCCGCGTTACTGGGAACATTTTAAGCCTGAGGGAATAAAAGGACAGCCTATGATTTCATGAAGTGTTTCAAAAAGTGATGTCGACGAGGATAAATTGCTAGACAAAAAACCGAGATACTTTACCAACTATACACGACGGATGTTTTGGTCACTCACGACCAAAAGAGTAAAGCGACTTCAATGAACGTAGACTGTCAGGGAGAAAAGAAGCGAATGTGACATCACAACACTCAGAAGGTTCAAGGAAGAGGACCAGGAGCTTGACCAAAGCAAAAGTTCATCAAATTCTGGTTGGAGTTCGGAATATTCCTCAACTACTGGGGTTATACACTGTCGGACCACGTTATCAGCATTTGTACATCGAATGAACCTGGTTGACACTTTAGTTGGAGGGAAAACACAAAGGGGAATAAAATAGCTTCTGGCAAAACCCCTCCGCTGTCCGGGATGGCGAAAGACCTACCGTATAACTACGTGGAGTGTGTGTGATTTTTAAACTAACCATGCACTACATTACATGCGTATGAAGGGACGCCACTTTCAAACAAAAGATTCAGTAGTGACGATTTGTCAGGCTCGCAAAAGCATTGGTATAATCGAGGCACAGGATCTGCAGTGTCGCACAACCCGGTATTTAGGAGAAACGATTTATTCGACAAAGCAAGCTCAGCAAAAATGACAGCATGACCAGCATGCAGAAACCTCGATGCAAATAATTAGGTCACTTCCGTAACTAACAAAGTTTCTGCATTCATGAGATTCCTCCTTTGAGTCAGTTAAGCAAACCCGATCCAGCATAGCCAAGTAGGAGCCAATCAGCGTACAGGCGAATATGTGTCGTAGTCCAACCAGCTGTTCTGTTTGCTTGCGCAAGCTAGCCGCTTGCTTTGTCTTGTAAACCCAATCGTTCTTTTAATTGCATAATCACACTACACCCGGTCTTGCACTTTGCATCCAAACCAGTTGCATTGGAATGCACCAGATACGAAATGCTATCCAGAGCAGAGCGCTATGGCTTTTATGTAAACTGTCTGGTGTCGTTATGATTGCTAGTAAAAACGCGGGTAATAGGTAGTTTCTGAAGCAACTACAACACCACGGAGGTGCATGCTATTCGCTGATACTTCTGTAATTTCTTCTTAAACACAGTTGTTATTCTGGCTGATTCCCTGACGTCGAGGACGGTGTCAGTCGTTAAACATTGGTTGAAAATCTCTCTCAGTGGTGACTATAATGCATCAGCCCACTCTTTCAGAGTGATCGGTGAGAAGGCATCAGGGCCACTAGCCTTAGTTGGCTTCACTCTTGTAAGTACGCTGTAAACACCGATGTAGTCAACTAAGATGGGAGGAGCAGTGATGGGAAAGGAACGTAGGGAGAATGTGTTCGATGAGAACTTACACTCTACGTTGAGCTTGTGCACATACATAGAACCGAGTAGACTAGTGGAACTTTTACGGATGAGTTGTTAAAGAGCTTCCATAGGTCACGGCAATTGTTGTTTCCTAAAACGGCTAGAATCTATAGACTCTGTAACCTTTTTATCTCGGCTTTTATACCTACATATGGACATTTGACAATGGCTGTTCGCTTTTATTTGTAAGCCTAATGTTTTTTCTACGTAGTTGCTTGAGTAGATGGGGATGAAAATCTATCAATCCGAAGCTAGAAGCAATGTGGCAACAAAGATTAAAACAGGAATTATCATTGGATATGAGGTGCACGCATTGAACTGACAGGTTCACATTGACGAAAATTGAGGAGTCGGTTGAAGAGATCTTCGAGTTGAGCTTTAGAATTTCTTCCGTCAAACATTCTCACGGCTTAACAGTTCTAACTGGACTTGTCATCACAGTGTAGTTGACTTTACAGTAAATCTTGTTGCATAACTGCACGATGCAGTGGACTGATCGCCAACGGTGCACGTCTTTGTGCAGAAACCCAGATGTGTTGGTTGGTGAAAAGTAATTCCAACAGTGCGTCGAGTCTGAGTGGGAATTCCATCAGGCTAGTGTCATTCCTATTGAAGTCACCTGTGATGATGCAGATGGAACACACTAACTTCATTTGCAAACCCGATACATATTTTTGTATCACTGACACTGCTGGGTTAGGCTCTACACAAACCATCCGAACTACAAGGAAGAAAACTACTACGACACTTGGTTTACATACCAACAGACGGTAACCTGTTGAAGCCACTGAGTAAGCGCATAGCTACGAAACCGATGCGCACCAATATTCGCTGATGTAGGTGATCACAATTCCAGGGTGCAAGGGCATACTGGGCTGTCGGATCTAATGTCTCGATAGCCGGTGTATTTCACGACTCCACCTTCATTTTCGAGATGTAATATTCTTGCAGCGTTACGCTACCTGCGTTCGAGAACTACTTTCGATCTAAATGTTTCTGATCAAAATTGTTCCCCAGAAGGGAAAGGACGTTGTTATTCAGGCTAAACGGCAAATGTGCGTTGTTAGGAGAATAGCTTTTGTGTCCAAACTTCACTAGGTCAAAACAAATGAGCAAAGCAGCCAGTCAACATTGCGGATCTCAAAGTTGGTTCTCTTAAACAAATGATAAAATGAGTTTCAGAACTAGGAGGATAGAAATATCCGTAATGGGTAGCGTTTAACAATATTTCAATTACAACGGCAAAGACCGAATTTGGATAATCCGCCGCTGTTATCCGGTTGTGTTGTTCACGTGTAGTCAACAATGGGCCCTTATACAAAATTATCGGATGCTTTTCAGCCGTACCACAGATACTATCGACAAGGTAAAATCTAGCACAATGGTAACAAAACATCGGCAAAAGAAAAACATCAATGAATAACACGGTCACACCAGTAAACTGTACTGGTCAGTTCTGGGATAATAGTGTTTTGGGGAAATAGTAAGCTGGCTAAATATGGAATGACCGACGAACTATATGCCCTGGTGCGGGCATATTTTCCTCTGTCCTTTTGCCTGGTCAACAAGGTAGATATCCCGTTAGAAAGTGCAGCGTGAAGTGGGTGGTTAATGTCAGTATTATTGAAGCAAATTCAGTGCATGAATTAACATGAGTCGATACAATGGATTTTTTTAAAGTTGGCTTTGGAATAACACTGCAGCAAGACAAATGCTTCATGGACCTGTCAAGTAGACTGAAATACGGACACAGTAGACCTGGAAATATCACAAACGAGCAATCAGTCCACTGAGGAAGCATGCCCCCAGTGATGAAATCTAGAAGCAACTTGTATAGTAAGGAGGATGATCGCAATTGGGCGACACCATAGGAAAATCGCCTGACTTTGGTGAATATTTGATTCATGTAAAGTGGCCGTGATAAATCAAGACTCATTATGACTCTAAGATATTTTACTGACTTTTAGAAGCTCAGGCTTTCACCACCAACCTGAAGTCGGACACTCCGTGGTTTACTTTTGCTGACGAGTTGTGTTTTGGAATAAAAACTGAATGTCACTGAAGTTGGATGAGTTCAACAGCAAGCAGCGGGGATTTCGTCCATTACATTGGTAGGTTCAAACAACTTTGCAGGTTGACTGAGCAGGCCCAGATTGAACGATTCACGCCGATGTTAAGATCAGCAGCATATTTTAGCAAAATGGCTTCTTCTGGGACAGAAATAATGTTAACTTAAGTAGAGAACAAGAATGATGACAAAATAGCTCCTGGAAGTACACTGAACTTCGTGCTAAGTGGCCAAGTGCTTTTGCCGCTAAACCTGATGTTCTAAAGTATGGCTGGCGAAATAATCATTTAGATAGATAGATAGAAAAATAGGGGTGGTTGAATATCAGAAGTCTGTAGATCCTGCAACAGCAGTTTAAGGCTAACTCATCCAAAGGCGTTGCCGTATTCGAGGAAGCAGACAAGTGTGAATTCATTCTTAGACTCTAGCGACGATAACACTGAAGGCATTTGACAAGCCACTATGTTTGGATCCAGAGGTGTAGCATAGGGGGAGCGGTGAAGGAGGTCCTCCCAGGGCGGCAGTTTGATTACGGAGGATGGTTCGCTACCAAGTGTAAATGCATCAAAACTATTACTATGATCAAAGGCGTATAACCGAAGAGCAACAATCATCTGAGACAGAAGTTGTAGTTACTATTACCAAGTTCGGTACCCGGGCAAAAGAAAATGACACTGAATGAATTGATGCACCGGGAAAGCTCTGTTATACTGCTGCAGAAGATTCGCGGGAATTTTAAGGATTGAAAAAATAACAACTACCTGGCGCAGTAACAAGCACACCAACCGATTTTACGGATGTCTATAAGTGACCCGTTAAGATTAGCCATAAAATTCGCACTATGCTTGTCAGAGTGGAATCTACTGCTGTGCAGACCTTCGATCATGAATTCAAAAGAGTAGCACGACCTAAAACAAATACAAAAGGCAACGACGAACTGGTTTTTCTGGATTTTCGAAACGGAAAGCAACGTTTGAAACATGATTGGTTTACTCGCATTGCAACTAGTTCCTGTTTTGCTTCGGCTGAAGAATGTGTTTAACTGAATACTCTAGTTTTTCGACTGATGGAGGTTTCAGAAACTGGTGGAAAATAAATTCAAAAGTATGTGAAAAAATTAGTAAATTGCATGCACAGGCAGTCCTTAAACTTAAGGAGATGGCGATCCGGATATTTGAACGAAAGGCATTTGACATATTAGAGGATGCACTTTAAGGTGGCATGAACTTCTAACTAGATTACTGGATAGCAGCAGGTTTCTCGTCAAGCAGAACGTGGCACTGCGTGGTCCACGAAAAGACATGCAGGATGATAAAGAAAGCAAGCAAAATACAGGATTATTTTAGAATTGGTACATTTGTCTACAAAGCATGGCCTTGTACTTTGTCAACATCTGGCGACAATTCAGCTGGGAAATAAATTCAGCACTACTTGTCTCCAGACGTTCAAAATGAATTTGCTAGCAATTTGACAAGGCAGGGGAGCAAAAATCAGCGTCCAGTTCAAGGAAAGCGTGCTTTTTGCATAATTTTTCATGGCACTTCCGATGTATCTCACAAAAAGCAGCTGAGTTAGGTGATGTACCATGCAAAAAATGGCTGAAAGTGGAGCTTGAGAAATCGTTGCTGAGCTATCTTGAGACCAACACCAAAGGCGTAGAACAAATTTGCGGACTCATTTTAGGATAATTTGAGAAAGTTTTAGTGTGGGTTGGTGACGGCCGTGGCCAGACAATTGATATTGCTACGGTTATGGTTGGCTAGCGTTCGAGTGTCCAGCGGTGCACCTGCGAAATCAACTGTCTTTGAACACAATTTTTGTGTCCATGAAGCTGCTTAAGGTGTGGTGAAGAAGTGACCATCATTGATGAAGGTAGTTTCTATCGAGTAGCAGAAATCATAACAAAGTTCAGATAACTTGTCACTTGGTCACAATATATTGATGCATCTGTGTCGAAGAACGAACGGAAGTCTGTGAAGGCAACCAGTTCCCGCTTTCGTGCTGTTTGAAGGAAGTTATAGTCTCCATTTTTAACTAAGCTTGATGCAGTGACTGGCATTCTGTGGTTTGTCTTACTGTAAACAGCAAAGAAAGCATGAATACAGAAGAATTGGAATTGCCAGTTGGTGTTCGGTTGCAGATCAAGAAAAATTCATATTGTTGACAAACGCTAAAACCAGAGTTAGCACCAGTCTAGTGGGACATTTCGTGATATTTTGTACAAGTCAAGCTGATTTTACGCTTAGTCGATGCATCGACCGATACGCTGACGTGCTTGTTCTGACGGCTTCAAGTCCCAGCAACGGTGGATATAACAATTATGCAGAATGCATTATTGGCAGGCTGCTGTTTGTAGGTGGCTATCTCGTGTGCTTAATGGTTCGCATACGTGTGGGTTCTTGATGTTTTGCGATTGAGTAAAGCCTGTCCATCACCAGTGCACACACAGCTACTGTGCAGTGGAGGTTGTGACCTCCGGGGGCCAGCCAGTGTTCTTTACAACATTAGTAAATTTCATGACCGTGGGGGATAGGTCGATCTATCTGGTTGTTCGGAAAGTTACTTCGTTTTTTCTTATAGTGAATTTTCTACCCGTGAATAGATTTTTTTGAAATATATTATCCATCTGGCCCAATACCTTTTCCCATCTTTCTGGCAGTAGCATGATTCCACGGTCAAAAAAGGTTTATTCTGTGATGGCAAAAACTGACCCAGGTGTTTTTGACCTCCTAATTTGAAGTAAAGACTTCACCGGCTAAGTAATTTTGTAGCGACGAGAACAGCTAATAATCAGTAGGTTCCAGATCTGGAGAACATGGTGGGTGCGGCAGTATATCCTATCCAATCTGTAATAGCTTTTGGCGAGCTACCAAACCTGTCTGAGGTCTCGAATTATCTTGATGGAACACTATATTTCTATTAATCCTTTCCTGTCGTTTTCTGTTTAAGTAACTCCTGCAGTTTGTCCAGCTGACGACCGTACACTTCAGAATTGATTGTTGTATTGCCCGGTAGAAGCTCAAGAAAACGATTCCTTTGAAATCTCACCAAACAGATAGCATTACCCATTACCCACTACACATGGATAAACACAAGTGTCTGTAAGCGATTTCACTAGCGTTGAAATCTCAGATTTCGTTCTACGTCTCTCATCTCCTCTATGCGTACACCAGAAGGAGACACGATTTTTACCAACGTCCCATTTGCCGTCATTTCATATGGATTTATGTTGGATTTACAAACTATACCATGTATGCTTCAGTGAGTTTACTGGTGTAAACCCAATTTTGCTAACAATCATTTTATATTTTGAAGTTTCACCATAAACATCCTACGGGTCCTTTTAAGCATTAGCTTTTTTCCCCTATAAAACCATTAGTCCATTACCATTTTTGATGAATATCGGTTTTCGAAGTGCTAAGCACCGGTTCGGCTTTTTACTGCATGATCTCTTGTGTGTAACGTTAATCGTCCGCAGTGATGATGCCCTTCAAAACCGAATCATTTTCTTGACGTCTGCGGAACAAATCACAGACGTCAACGAGACGGCCCAATGTTAGCTGCTGGCATCCTGAATTCATGGGGTCGGAACCCGGCAGTGGTCCCTTGGGAGACGCACCACTGTCAAGACCCAGAAGGTCGAAACGCCGACGTCCGGTGCTTTTCCAGGCTAGCCTAAGCCTGCTGATTAGGAGTGACAATAATGAGTTAGCTGAATTATACCAATGTTATCCTCCTAGGTACATGAGGAACCCATATGTTGAGCTTTGTGATTAGACCAAGCGTTTCAAATGATCATGAACGGTCAAATTTGATAAATTTAATCCCAGCGATCCACTGGTTGTTATGGGCTGGTTTTCACCAAGTAACACGTTTATTATGTGTTAATCAGCTTTAACTGGCCTTCCAGAACGTGCATTTTCAACATCAAAACTGCCGGATCAAACTTTTGCAAGCCCGTGTTGGCATTGAAGTTCTGTCAATACATTTCTATACACATCTGATAATGTGTTTCTTGCTTGAACAGCATTTTACCTTTTTGATAGTAATAAATTAAATTATAGCGAAAATGCTGCTTTTCATTTCCCATATGTAAAGGGTCACCAACCACAAATTACTACATAGAAGCAATCGAACTTTTCACAAGCAAGCATTGCCGTGTCAGCTGTCCAAATATATAGTGATTATGCGGCTTAAGTGTGAAGTTGGCTGCGAAATAAACGGAAAAATGTAACTAAAATCCGAACAACAAAATACATACTAAGAGACGGTCTACCACCGTCCCCCATGGCGCAGTGACAAAAGCCACTGTATAATTTACACAAACTGCTAACGGTGATTGGTTCGGTTCGCTGGGCGGGACCGCGGAAGTGCGTAAGAATAACGATTCCCACTAGGGCGAAACGGTCGTCGGGTGCTTTATCCGATTAATGGTTAGACTCTCCGGCTTGTTAGCTGCTGGGAGGAGAGAAGCACCTTACCATCGATTTATTGAAAGGGACATTTTGAAGCGCTCTTTGTCTGAGTGGATTGCGACACGAAATCACAACGTAGACCGCGATTCCCATTGAACCGAACTCTGATCAATTCGATCACGGAAACTGTAAATGATGAAGCAGTTGGAAATTTGATGTTGCCCGTGAGAAACACTGCACTCCACGACACGTTCCGCTCCTATTTGTTCTCATCAGGTATAGCTAACAGGCATTCAAAGCAGGGGAGTTGGAGAGGTTAGTCGAGACCACTAGGCTTAAGCCAGCGAGTCACTCTCTCTCAATTTACCCCTGATGAGATCAAACGAGTTCGAAACCGATCGTGGAGCGGGGCTTGTTTTCCTGCGGGCCGTACATCCAAGATCCATCCATCACCTCTTTTGAAGCAACAAAGCGGTTGTCATTAGAATTTCACTAATGCTTGGGAGGCAAGTGTTTGTAACATGTGGAAAAAATAGTTATAGCGGGACATACGGCATCAACGATTTTGACGGAAAAACCAACGGTCCAGTGGTCACGCTGGTCAGTTGTCCCAGCCCGATCCTTCGGCTATCCCTCAGACGGCACTGGAGGAAATCGTATCGCAAGATGTAGAAGTTTCTCTCAGTCAAGATGACTAATCGTTCGTGCTCGTTGTTCCAGTGATCAATTCTGTCCGAATAAACATGAAAGGGACAAGATGAACACATTTCACCAACAGATGTTAATTAGATAAATAGAAGTGGCTAAATTCGTTTAACTAGCAAAAGTGATTAAATAGCCTCATTACACCCGGTAGACTGACCAGTCAGCAGACTTTATTGGGTTATTGTGGTGTTTCAATAATACGCTTTACACCGCCATTGACTCATCAAATCGCGATGCGCACTCACTTAGACATCATTGGGCAAATGCATGTGTTTGCTTCCGATTGGTTGCCTCGCTCGCACCTGCACGCTGACTTGCTTTGTGTGTTGAACCTCCTATTAAGAGGCTTTTGAATGTTCTTTTCTTTACTGAGTTACTTCTGATTTCGAGGACAACAAATTGACGTCACGTGCTACCAGTATCTCTATAAAACACGGCCCCTATTCACTCCTGAAACTACCCTGCGATTCCGCCAAGATTATGAAGCTGGGCGGAACAGAAACTTCTTTTAGGATATTTTTCGGTCTTACAATTTGACAATGAAATAGTTATGTTAAAACAAGTGGATACTTTGAAGCACTTGCGGCTGCATTTCGGTTCCGAAGGTCGATGTGTAATTGACCCTCAGAATCTTCGCGAGATCCCTGCGCTGAGGGACGCCTTCTTGGCTCTCGATTACCATTGTAGTACGTATGAGTACATGCATTTATCGGTACAGATTCGTGCAGATGAAGCGAACACCCAGCGAGCATTTGAACAACTTCATATCCCACCTTATCTGTTCGGTGTGACTATTACACTGCCCCCAAGAAGAGGCTGGGAGAAGCGATGCTTATACAGTAACTGAATTCTGCTATGTAAAATTCTCGCATCAGAGGAAATCTCTTGATAGAGGACGCGGATATTATGTCGTGACATGGCACGCGGATGTCGAAGTTAGCGAACAAAGTAAAATCTTATGTTGCGCTGCTCCATCTACTGAGGTCGAGCCCTTGAACTCTTCACTGTCTGATACTACACCCCCAAGTGAGTTCAAGTGTCATCGCTATGAAAAAGCTGAATATCGCACAGAAAGTCAGATTTGTATCGGCAAGAATGAAATGGACTCGAACTTCGGTAATTTCGGACATTTTGCAAGAGTGTCGTTCCCGCACCGTCTCACATGTTGATTTCCCAAAAGTAACCTTTCGGCCTCTCGGGCCAATGATAGGCAAATCAACGTTGATATTTATGAGAGTGAAAATTGGGTCTCTTAACTTGTTAATGAGACAAAATTAAGTTCAGCAAATATTCGCACCATTTTAGGTACATAAAAACGGTTAGATACCGCACTAGATTCTGCATTACCTCTTACAGTGGCTCCAGAGAGTCTTTAAAGCAGTTTTTCTATCATCTATCTATGCAACTGTTACAGTACACCTTCAGCGTCTAATTCAGTGGTGCTGTGCAAATTCTGGATTTCGCTACAGTCTCAGTACTACTTAGAGACAGAAGAAATTGTACAGTTATGTTATGTATTTCTAAGACCTACCGTAATCCTCTTCTCGAACGGAGAGGGCATGGAGTAAATGCTTTGCCCAGCGTCCACCGAATGACAATTGCCAATGTCAGTCTCAATTCATTTCACTCTAGCTGCCAAAACCCATTATTTTTTGTTAGTAGTAAAACACCAAAGAGGATGCGTCGCATTTGTCTAAAAGCAGATTACAGGTCATGTGGTATTTCGCAACGTAGGATAGACCCATACGTGTGTACCGATTAGCGAATGCTTACCCAGTACATAATTGTGGGCACAATCCTACTCCCTTCTGCCAACGAGCTGATGGCGAGGCTCTCCAACAAAGTATTCGTAATGCGTACCACATGTCACTGACTCCCAATTGTCGACATTTGACTGCATTTCTCACACAAAACATATTGCATCCGTACAAAATTTTACCGACAGACGTTAGCAGTGCACCAGCAGCTCGGCAGAAATTCGCCACCTTATCCTTATCCGACATCTAAAGAAGGCCTTAGTATTTTGGTATCTCGAGAAACCAGCAGACCAGAGCAGCATGGGAACGTGTGAATTTAAAACTGTCTGTACATACGCGCGTTGCAACTAAATCGATAGACGTCGAATTGCAATGAATCGAAGGCAAGATCACATGACTGGCCAGCGAGTGCTAAATAGAAGTGTGAGTAGGATAAGCGACGAGGGCAAAAACAAAGCACAGTTTTTGAACACGACATTGTCCCCTCCTCTGTTCATAAAAATATAAGCACAACATGTTCATGAACGATCTAATTTAATGTCAGCACCCCGAAGAAGTGTCATGTGGTGTTACCGTTAAAGCGTATCGGTAGACAGAGCGGCATATCCGACCGGAACGTCGCAGGCTTTTATTAGGTTTACCTAGCACTGTGTTGTAGGTGTGTTCCTCTTTTCAATAGCATATTGAGAAAGCGCTGTATGCAGCCGTCTTGCAATCATCTTTGTATCATCAGCCAAGTTGTAAGTTCCTGGTGTGCACACAGATTCCACACGGATCGGCGGTCCGAATACATTACATCCTTTCCGGGAATGGGGTAGCCTCACCCAAAAAGATATCCCTAGAATATACGTACTCCCATCGCGTCTCTACTTAGCACGGTAAACGGTCTTCGTATTCTCTGTGATCCGCGGTTTCTGTGGATGTAAAGGCTGCATTTAATGGAGTTGGAATTTTTCTCCCTAGCATTAGCTCCGATGGAATAGTTGCCGTTGCAATATGTAAAGTGGTTCTGTATACCTCCAAGGCATCATCTCAGGATTCTCCCGAAAGCCGAAGGACTTGTAGAGATTCTTGCATTGTATGATTAACTAGTTCAATGAGCTCATTCGCCGCCGGATTATAAAGTACAGTCCTCCTGCCTCTGATACCACTGTGCCTTAGGAATTCAGCATACTCTTTACTACGAAACCGTGGGCCGTTATCAGTGACTATTTCTTCTGGCAAACCGTACCTTGCAAACAAACAACGGAGCCACTTTATGATGACGGCTATAGTTACTTCCCCGCATAGAATAGCCTCTGGCCATTTGCTGTAGAAACAGCTAGCAACTAGCAGGTACCGCTTCTGTATATATTCGACGTTTTGTTCGCACAATTCCTGGAGGACCTTCATGCGCACACGCAACTACCAGAGGAATAAGGGTTGCAGGAACGGCAAACTGCTCGCCTCTAATAATGCAGTTGCTCACATTAGAAAGCTCGTGTCCTGGGGTCTAGTATGAAAGTAGCTCAGGTTGGATCTTGGTACGACTGGGCCATGAAGTGCATGTATGGTGCCGTAAAACTACCACTAGACTGTTCTTCTCCGGCCTCTCGGCTCACATCTGAATTTAGCGCTAAAGTCTGCTCTTTGGAATCAGAGCTCGACGAAATGAAGAAAATTGTGACTTTCTATGAACCCCTCAAAGATCACTTAGTTTCACTGGATTACATTAGCAACCCATCCGATAAGTTTGATCATATTCACCTCAAAAAGGCAGGTCAACTAATCGACTCCATCGCCTCGGAGGTACATGAAAGAAAGCGTAGAGTAAAAATTGTGATCGCTTTTAACCTACCAGACAGATTCAGTTTGAACAAAGTAAAGACGACTGTACTTAACGCTTGTAACATTCCGATGTCGTCTGTAAATGTCTGCGACTGAAAAAGAAAACACCGAGGCATTGCTGTCCAGTCATTTTTAAACTTTAAAGCGCAGAATTGGTAGATTGTTTATTGCACAGCCAACCTATTATTACTGCATGTACCCAGTACAAAGATATTTTGATTAAGCCGGACCATACGCCTCTGAAACGATCCCTCCTCAGAATTACACCGAAACCGCCGGAAAACCGTGACAGCTACGCTAATAAACCGCACACAAATCCACATGAAAATGGCACAGAGAATGTGTCAAGCGCAGTTACCAACGTGGATCTCGACAACTCGTATCTAGCGGCGTTAATATCAAATAACTGTGCCCCACCTTCTATCTCAACGCCTACTGTATGACAACCGAACGTAAGGTACGCCAGCACTCGTGACCGCGGCCTCATTGATGCGACCTCAAAAGGTTTAGTCGCTACAGGAAGTGTTAGATGTGACGAACAAATGACTGTTGGGTACCAAATAATAACACCGGGAAACGGATACAAAGGTCAAGATGCGCCCCCAGATTTGCGTGCTGATGTTGTAAACACAAATATATCATTGACTGGTATTTACACGAAATACTCAGCTATGAGGAACTCAGTAGCGCTCAAATCTGCACGTCAACAACTAACTTGCCATCGCAGCACTACGCGTCACTTAGAGCCTGTTAGAACTCACAACAATTCTCTTCTGGCTATACCTACCTACCAACCTCCAACAGGCCAGCATACTTATCAACCTCACATCTATAACAACTCTATACAGAGAAATGAAAATCAAAAAGACGTTAAAAACCCGACGATACCACCTGTCATGCGACATACCTATGCCGCATTTCAGAATCCACCAATTTACCTTAATCCATTTTTAGCGGAAGCGGAGACAGCCTGCCTTGTTTCACTTTTCTGGCAGTTCATCCACATGTCACGGTTAGCTCGATATCAGATAAACCCCAATCTTGCCTCGGGACATCAATCATTTCCGACCACCCGGTCTTACTAGCGCGAACAATGCCCTTACACCTGAGCATTCCACCGATGGGTTTGTTTTCACCACACCCTCATTTAACTTCTTTGCCTGTCATTTCTGATTCCCAGTCCTTTGAAGTACTCACAGAAAACGTTTTTGTGCACACCACATTTTCATTTATACTAATTAACTCATGATCCATAAAAAAACAAGTTGCATTTTGTAAGCATGTTTACTCAGCTGAGCACCCCACATGTAATCTTCGTCACCGAAACATGGTGCTCCCTTGATACATTGGATGCTACTTTAGTTATCCCTAACTACTACCTATTACGAAAAGATCGCAACACAAAAAGGCGGCGGGTGCATCGTATATCTCCATCGGAACTTCAGAGTGGAGTTCATTGATAACCCACAGTTAAACAA